TATTAAAAACTTTTATTCAAAATACAAGACAAAGAACAAGTTTTGACCTCTTTAGTTCATCATCAGGTTAAGAACGGCTGAAAGGATATGTTCGGTGACGGAATTCGAACCCGCAGATTTCGAGTCGAGTGCCCCAGGCTTCTTTAAAATTGCAAATGCGGTTAATCTTCATGACATGTTCTATGACAGTTGCTTTTTTTCGTGTGAGTAAGGTGATGTGAAATTGAGAGTAGGAAAACCGGTCTAGATGAGGAGTTTTTGTATACACTTGTTATAAGTTTACTTTGCGAGTCAACAAGAAGCTGTAATGGGTACTTCTTATTAAGTGTTTTATAGTAAAAGTTATATTTGTATGTAAACTGTTCAAGTACCTGTGAAATGTTTCAAGTCTGCATAACTTGGAAGGCGAAATACCAAACGTATCATCGAAATACATTAACAACAACCTTTTTTTTCTTTTTCAATAGGCGCATGAACACTACAGCAAACACTAGCACTACTGCTGCTACACCCACTTTCACCTGTAGGTCGAATATCACATAGAAAACTTTTCCACAGAAAATAATGAAAGTCTAATTCGCTAATAATATTTAACAGATGTTTTCTCGATTAATAATAAATGCTGACTAACTTACTGATTGGTTTACAGAAACACCAGTTTACTTTATCAATCTCCTCTCGTTTATTCCCTACTGACCAGGTGGTTAGGGCGCTCGACTCGCAATCTGAAGATTGCGGTTTGAATCCCCGTATCACCAAACATGCTCGCCCTTTCAGTTGTGGGGTCCCCCAGTGGCACAGTGGTATGTCTGCGGACTTACAACGCTAGAAACCGTGGGGGCGTTATAATATGATGGTCAATCCCACTATTCGTTGGTAAAAGAGCAGCCCAAGAGTTGGCGGTGGGTGGTGATGACTAGCTGCTTTCCTTCTAGTCTTTCACTGCAAAAATTAGGGACGACTAGCGCAGGTAGCCCTCGTGTAGCTTTGCGCGAAATCCAAAACAAACAATTAATTAATAACAATCATTGAAAGAATATTACTTTTTTTAATTTACTTTCCAAACTTAATTAGCTGAAGTTCTCTGCTTTCACAAACTCATCTCCGTGTTTTTAAGCAATGGGATGAAAAATGAAATTCAGGGAATTGTTTTCGATAAAATTCTGGAATATAACTCGATATTATGTTCCATTTCATCCGGATTCCTGGAGAGATAAATTTGTCATTTAGTTGATTCTGAAGCTTTAATAGCTTCATGAAAGTAATGCTTAGCTCTATTCACAAGATTTTATATTTTGAGTTTGTAAATCTTTCAATATACTCACAGTTGATCTATTACCAGGTTTAACTGCTATACTTATTAGCCAATCATACCTTCTTTTCTCTTTTTTTTTATTTTACGTAAGAAAATATGTATGTTGGAGATCAGTTTTACAGTGCAAGTCAACAGACTGAAATAATATGTATTGTGTATGCTTAAACTCAAACATAAATTTACATAAAAATTACTAAAAATATTTAGTTTAACTACGATTTTAAATTTCCTTCATTATACGTGCAACCCCCCCCCCAAGTGGCACAGTGGTACAATTGCGGACTTGCAACACTAGAAACCGGGTTTCGATACCCGTGATGAGCAGAGCACACGTAGCCTATTGTGTAGCTTTGTGCTTAACTACAAAGAAACAAACTGTTGCAACTGAAAACTCGTTAAACGCTCGTTTTAGTGCAACTACACAATAGACTGCGCTCTGTCCTCCACACGGAATTGAACTCTGGATTTTCGCTTTGTAAATACGTAAGTTTACTGATGGCACACTAGTGGCTTAAAAAGGCTACAGAATATTCAGTCTTAGAATGATTAGTTTTTGGTTGTTATGTTCACAATGTACATTATACCTGATGAACACGTGTTATGATTACACTTGGTTTGTTGTCAAACGAAAAAGCTACATAGTAGATACATTCTTTGAAGATGAAAAGATTGACCGAAATAATGCGCGCAATTTTTTTGTTAAATGTAAGGGAGGCAAGTACCCCCCCCCCCTTGCCAATTTCTGCGGGCACCCTTGGTAAGAACTACTGTTTTACACGAATGCAAATTTTCGTACCTCGTACGTAAACTTCCAATGTGTTATACCATTACAGGCACATCTGGATTTCCCGTATAACCGAATCAAATCTAAAGATGTCTTTTGCATAGTTTTAAGGTGTTTATTTATAACTAAAGTAGTAGATAGAGCAGAATAAAATCGTCCCCCTTAAAATTACTGGAGAAATAATCCAGCAGAAAAGGTAAAACTGATAAATTTTCTGTATGCTTTTATACACATCAGTTTAGTACTGCCATGGTCAAACAAATTATACAGATGGCACTTTGTATTTCTTCAGCCAATCAAACGACGTGGAAAATGTACACTAGCCACTAGCCCACTTTAGTCGTTAGTGACCGGTAGTAGATGATAACTAATAAATAATGCCTAAGGTTAGAAACGGAACAAATAGTTGGTCTAACTGGACAGTGATTAGTGAAACGTAATGACAGTTTAAAAAAACAGAGTACCACCTCGAAATGTACCCCCACGTCAAGATTAATCATTTTTTTTATTGTGTGAAGGTGGTTAGAAGGCTTTGGTCATCTATTTCTTATTAAGAAATTAGTAACAGTCACCATATAGATTTTAATAGCTTCCCCAGTGTCTCAGTGGTACGTCTGCAGGCTTACGACGCTAAAAATTAACTCTCGATACCCGTGATGGGTAGAGCACAGATAGCCCATTGTACAGCTTTAAGCTAAACAACCAACCAACCAATAAAAAAAAAGCTGTTAGTAACTTTCGCCATCTAGTTGTGTATTGGTGAACTTAACATAACAAAATAGATCCCAAATAATTTAGCTTGATCTGTCCATATTTACCTTAATATTAGTAGACAATCCTGACAAATGTTTGCTTAAAGCGGTTTGCCTGAGCTTAGTTTTAAACTGAATCACAAATTGTGAAAAGGTAAAGCTGACTAGTTACAAGAAAAAAATCATGACGGACAGTAATCGGTTTTTATTGAGCAGAGTACCAAATGGACTTTACAGATATTCATAGCAAACACTTCCTATACACAAAACACCCCTAACTGGCTCCCCCGACAGTGGTAAGTCTACGGGCTTGCAAAGCTAAAACCCGGTGTTCATTTTCCCGCAGTGGACGCAGTAGATAGTCAAATGTAGCTTTGTTCTTAAAAACAAAGAAACTAAAACCTAACGGACTTTACAAACGTTCATAGCAAACTATTCTGTATACATAGAATCGAATGGGCCTTATAGAAATCAAAACTCTTCTACACATAGAACACCCAAAACGAGATTTACAAAAATTCACAGACATCTCTCCCTCTACACAAAACACCAGGCTATGTCTGTACTTTTCGACTGGTCCCAAGAGATATATACCCTTTACAGTTCTAAACAGAGGGAAAAAGACAAAAAATATTTTCCGACACGGGTGATGTCTGTAGTTTGGTGCTTAATGAATACACATAACACACTTGAAACATCGGCAAGTTCAACATTAAAGCTAGATTTGGTGAAACTAAGAACATAAGGAAAACAAGTAAATATTGTTGACCAAATGAATTTCCTCGTTGATCTGAGAAGCTCTGAATGCTCTGACACGACTTAATTCACAATTAAAAAAAACAAAACAAAGATAAATATATATGTTTCAACGTTTCGGGTCGGGAAGTCATTACTTTGGTGATTTAAAATTTGAAGATGCAGAAGGTTTGATACCACAAAGAGTTATTAAACATGAAACGTTTGACATGCACAAAATACAACAAATCTAAAGGAGCATACACGTAAATCAATATTATTTTAAAATTAGGATAATATTAACATATATATATATATCATTATACATATAAATAATAATTAAAAACCGAGGTTTCAACATATTTAAAAGTTTCTTTAAAATGTCAATAATAATAACAGATAAGTAGGGTGATATGCATTGTTGCCAGGCAACAATGTCACGTTTT